AATGCCAAAATTAGAGTACCCTCTCTACAGCACGAGTTTACCAATCATCGCATACTTGCGCGAACGCAATTGCACATGCTAATTTGTCAAAGTGCACTAAGTGTACATAATCTTAGCAGAACAAGTCATATGTACATATATATCACATATTATGTATTACAAAAGAATACATCATACAAATAGTTATATTGGGTAATGTTGATGGTCAATACCATCTAGTGACAAAAAACCGCGGATACTTTTTAGATGACCCAATACATAACCTGCCTATGGAATTACATTGCATATACTATGAGAACCTAGTACAATTAGGTGTAGATGCGCGCGCAACATGTCCAGTCTACCATACATGGAAGGGGCATGATAATTAGTGCTTATAAAAGTATGAGGAATGCAAAGATTACAGAAAGACAGAAGTCAAATTTAAAGAGACTCTACTGTATGTCGAGTGGTGTGTGCAATCGTGACTATAGGCAAACGGAATTCTTCCAGTATTTCAATAATACATTATTAAATTCATGATTTTTTATTATACTAGTCTCAGTTTGCAAGCGTCTCTCTCTAGCATGAATATTATATGACGTTGCTGCTTGGAAAGCGCTTATTGGACTATAGACAACTAAATCGAAAATGGCGATCAAAATAGTCAATACGAAAGTTGTCAATATTTTCGATTCAAATAAAAGGATTACTTTGGTATACCTTTAATTATGATTTTTTTTTAAATGTGAAACAATGACAAAAATGACATTTGATTGTTGTTAAGAATATATTCTTTTTGTCAATATTTAATTAGTTAGCAATAATTTTCTGTTAAATTAAAAAATAGTTTTATCAGGAAATTGAATTTTCTGAATTGTATTACTTTTGAAGCCCAGAAAACATTGAAACATCTTATAAGACATTACAAAGACATCCTAAAATGCACGAAACATTTTTTAGAAGTATTAGAATGACGTCTATGATTGATACTTGAAAAAAATTCATATTTAAAAATTTTTAACTTTGTTTCTTTATTAACAGAAGTTGTTCTATATAAGATATATATAATGATTTCACCTGAAATTATTTTGAAAAACATACTTACCTAGTGGGATTCGAACCTGAGACCTCTGGATTATGAGTTTCCTACATGCTGCACCACTTCTTCAGTTGATAAGTGTGTTATTTATTGTTTAGATAAGTTTCAGAGATATCATTGAATTCTCGCGAAATTTAGAGACTTTCAGATCCTTAAACATGATTTTCAAAGGAATCCTCTAAAAATCTCTGAAAAATAAGAAACTATTAATATTCTATCTTTAGATTCGAGATATCACTGAATTTCCGAATTTTAACAAAATTCAAGGACTTTTAAACACTTAGAAATGATTTTCAGAGAATTCGTTGAAAATCTCCGAAAAGTAAAAAAAACCATGAAAATTCCATCTTCAGAGATATCATTGAATTTCCGAGTTTCAGCGAAATTCGGCGACTTTTAAATATTTGGAAATTATTTTTGTAGAAGTTACTGAAAGTCTTTAAAAAGTAAAAAACCTTGAAAATTTTATCTTCAGAGACTAATTTTAGAGTTTCAGTGAAATTCAGGAACTTTTAGACACTTAGAAATGACTGATGAAATTTGCAAAAAGTTTTTGAAGGGTGAGAAACCATGAAAATTCTATCTTCAAAGATATCACTGAATTCCCGAGTCTCAGCAAAATTTAGGTACTTTTAGACATTTAGAAGTGATTTTCAGAAAATTCGCTGAAAGTCTTTCAAAATGAGGTGCCAAAAAAAAAAAAAAAATTACCCGAAAGTAATTTTATATATGTATACTGATTATACAAGCGAAATACAAGAATATATCGAAACTACATCGGGGCTTATAAAAGAAGAGACAATAATGATAAGTAATTATTCGTTTTGTTGCGCTATGTTAAAAGATCTTACAAAAAAAAAATAAATTTTTCTTCATAAATATTTTAAATATTTACTTATAAATTTTTTATTTATAAGTTTTTTAAAAATTAAATTGGATATACTTTTTAAATTGGATTTACTTTTATACTATTAAATAAAAACTGAATATTTTGCTACATGTTTTTTACAATACTACATATCACCTTATCTTTATTAATTACATTTAGTTAAGAGATATTAAATAAGATGCGTGAATAGATTATAAATAAAAATATACATCAATTTAAATACGCACACACACGTACGTACGCACGCATACATTATATTATATATAATACATTATATTATATATAAACTGTTAGGATTAGTGCGAATTTAAACATTTTTTAAATATTTTTCTACATACACTGGAAATTAATACTAAATTTTGAGAAATAATTATTTGAATGGTTCTAAGTAAATAAATATATATTTACTAAATGTATTCAAATATGTGTATATTTATTAAATGTAAACATATACTTATTTAATAAAAAATTATTAATTGGATTTAAGCATCGATATCATTTTTTAAAATGAATCATTATTTATCTACTGTAAATAAATTCTTACTTAGAAACCACTCAAAGAAATATGTATTAATAAATATTTTTTCAGTATATACTATTCTAGAAAAATTGTTTTATATATAATTACATAAAATTATGTATATTATTATATGAAATATATCCGTATATAATCTTATATAACTATAAAATCTTTTTCTCCTGGATAATATTTTAGGAAGGTTGATACTTGTTAACATAATAGAGATACAACTGAACTTACTGAAAAAATATATTTTTTTTATTTACATTGGTATTATTACTACTTTTGTAAGAATAACTAAAAAAGTGTATTATATTAGGTCATTTAAAAAGTATTACCGGTTTTTTGTTCAATTTTTGAATGAAAAAACCGCGGATACTTTTTAAATGACCCAATATTAATAAGAATGTAAAATTAAATATTTAGATACTACATTATATTGATTTAAAAATCGATATGCGATATATTATCATTTAAATAATAATATATCATTAAATAATATGAAAGGTAATAAAAATATAAAATTAAATGTATCAAATTCCTTGTGAAACAGAAATATCAATAATCACGGATATTAAAAAGTGTATACGAAATTATAACAAAAAAATAATATTAAACAAAGAAAACAATGTTTTTAGTAATGAATAATGAAATTTATAGCAAAATATAAATACAAATGGAATTGAACATAGAATTATCAATCTATAAATTTATCAATCTATAAATCTGAATAAAATTAAATAGCAATATTTTGTATAACGTATATTATAACAAATTTAATCTTTATTAATACATGTTTTCTCTGCTATTTAATTTATTTGATTTCCATTTATATAAGTGATATTTCTATTTAAAAGAGGAATATATGTATATTGCTTTTCTTTTTTCGCATTTTTGATTGTATACCGTGGTGAAAATTTTTCTTATAATTTTTATATAAATTGAAACATTTTTCAGAAATACTTAGAAATATGCGGAAAGTTTACATCTTCTCTTAGAATTTTTCATACAAGCGAATTCTGAAATATTCTGAAATTTCTCATCCCATAATTTTTTAAAAATATTTTTTAATTTTTTAGATTTTATAACAATTCATTAGAAATTATACTTACAAAAAATTCTGAGAAAAGATATAGATTTTCTAAGAAATGTTCCAATTCGTATAAAAAATGTGAGAAAGTTATTAGAAATTATATAGAAATTCTGAAAAATTTTCACCAGGGTATCGCAGATTTTTGTATTCTTATATTTTATGATAAGACATATATAAGTACGCAAAATCCAAGTATGTGTATATGGAAGATTTATCTGAATTAAATCACATGTGCGTATTACATTAGTAAATTTGAATAAGAAAGATTGTTAACACTCATGTATTGTTATAAAGATTGTTATAGGTGCAATACATAAAGTTATTTCATCTTTACATGAATATACTAAGACTAAATTATTTAATTAAGCCTAAAGACGATTGTAAAAAGGGAAAATATTTAACAATAATGTAAAGATTGAAAATGGGAGTAAAGTAATGCATTTTAAAGAATCCTATTTTGAATTTAAAATGTATAAAATAATTTTTATACAAATAAACAATGTTTGTTACAATTATATATTAAAATAATTTTCTTTATTCTATATATTTATATAACTTTTGTCTCAATACTTCTCATACTACGGCAAAACTTCGTATATCCAGATATAGTCAATTAACTTATTTACAGATTTTCAATACATTAAAAGATCTTGTTAAAATAATGCCAATTGAGCATCAAATTGTTATTAAATCAATTAAATTTGTGATATTATTGTAATAATTTAGTTGCATTTTTAAGTTCGAAAAATCATTTCGGCGCGCAATTCGAGAGACTATAAACGTGGTATATATATTCATACGAAATTATTTAAGCACTCAAGATCCAGCTTCGACCATTAAAGGCATTGATTTTTATTATTTATTGAGTATTCACATTATATGGTCCTAATAAATTTATTATTAAATATATTTTTATTAAGGAATAGATTACAGTTATTAAAATTATATCAAGTAATACAGTTACGTACAAAATGTATTTAACGATGGCTAAAACCTGTTGGAAGTTGTTCAGGACTTTTACAACATATGGCAAGGACAAGATTTCTCATTATTGGAGGAGATCTCCTAATCTGGATATTCAAGTTTTCAGTTAAACGTAAATTGTCTAGAATAATGCTAAAATATTTATCTTTATGTTCCTTATTCTAACTCAACACATTTGAATCGTCTTTTTTAATTTTCTTTAATGACTATATTGTTTAGCTACATTTTAAATAATGATTTCTTCTAAATATAAAAATATTTTCAAATATTTTAATTATAAAAAAATAAGTTTTATTTCAAATTTAACTGTCCGAAATTTTTAAAAAAGTTACAGCTTTATAAAATAATTATTTTTTAATATAAATCAAAATTTAAATCATTAATTTTTGGAGAGTATGTTTCATTCATCACTATTATTTCAGACTGTGACGTCAGAAAATGTCGAGGCTATAATAGTTTTTAAATTAATAATGATTAAAGTTCTCTAATACGATAATTTTGAAGTTGAAGGGCTCTGCAATGCCTGAGCGCACGAAATTTCAGCTTTGTGATTATATATATAGAGAACTTTAATCGCTTATATTAATCTCAGAAATCTGTTATTAATGGCGAAGCACGATAGTCTAGGACGCCCTGTATATATATTAATTTCAATGGATGTCCATTGGACGTCCATGTATTAGTCATCACGTGTATTCCACAGAATGTCGGAAACATATCACATGTTTAAAATTTTAATTAAATTTATAGATCTTAATCAAACGTCTGATGTATGTCCAACTAAAGTCCATCAAATAGTCATTATAGATGCGGCATGGACATTCTGAAAAAAAAAAAAAAAATGTTTTTCCGGCCGCTCTGTATCAAGAGGCATATGGAAACATTCTAGATAATATATAACTTTTAATGAATTGTACAATAATAATCAAATACTCCCCTCCCTTAATTCAGAATATTATAAATTATATCAAAACACGATATTATAATTAATGAGAGATTAATTGTTTATCCAAGCGTAGCCCAGGAAAATTAAACTTTTTTGTATTTTGGAAGCAAAATTGCCATAAAAAATTTGATTGCGGGAAGTTGTCCGAAATAACGTGTTAAATAATATACTAAAAGTCCTGATCACTAGTGGATTTGAAAGACTTAGCAAAAAGCTGAAAAAATATCTTTTCAAAAATCTTAGAAAGTATTTATTTTATCGAAATAAAGATTATCAAAAAGAAAGTTGATAAAATTAGAAACAATTTTATTTTCTTTTTATGAACAATATTTTCCGTCACAAATCTTGTAAAGAATATATATATAGAATAACCTTTTGATTAACCATATATTGTGAAATCAGGCCTAAGAATCTTCATGAGAAGAATAGTAACAAAAAATTCTTCTCATGCGGAAAGTTGGGACATGGCGAAGGAGTGTTATCATTTTAAGGACAAGGACAAGAAAAAAGCATCAGAGTACAAGGGAAGAAAGATAATAATAAGAATAATTATAGCAAAGATGTAAATCTCACATCTGAAGGTAGGCTAAATTACGCTACTTTTCAAGTTTTCAACACTCAAGTGTGTCCAGATAGATCAGAGTAAATGATTTGATAGTTGATAGCGATTGTATATCTCACACGATACTTGATAAAAAATATTTTATAAATTTTAAATTAACAAAAATATAGGACTCTCAGTATAGATAATAAATAGAAAATTTAAAGAGCGAATGAGAATTAGAATATTTCAAGTTGAAATTTATACAGAAAAACGATATTGAATCTTGGTGAAATATTAAACCTGTACTGAAAAATGAATATTCAAAATGAATTTCATATTTCAGTACCAGGTACCATTATGGTACTGAACCAGTACCATAAAACTAATGATACAGTACAAGCTCAATATATGAATCAGTATTGAATAGCAATACAGATCCAGTAAATTTTCGATATCGCGTCTGTACTGAGATTACCAAAACCAGTGTGTCGGGGATCAGTATCAAAAATATATACCGCCAGTATATTTGCAGTATCGGGTCTGTATTGTAATTAGCAAAAGAAATGTCAAGCGCCAGTACTGAGTCAGCGTACTGTCGGTAGATTATCGATATCATGTCCGTACTAAAATTGGGAAAGGATTATGTCGGGTGACAGTACTAATCTAGTACACTAGTAGATTTTTGATATCGCATCTGTACTGAGATTACCAAAACCAATGTGTCGGGAGTCAGTATCAAAACTGTATATCGTCAGTATCGGATCTATATTGTAATTAGTAAAAGAAATATGTGAAGCGTCAGTACTGGCGAACCAGCATGGTTGCATATATCCTGAATTAAGGATGTTTCAATATAATCAATATTTTTAAATATCGTATCATCTCAATTCATATTGATACGGAATATCAATAGTTTGTGCTTCTCCGCACATTCCTACCCTAAATGCAGTCGTGATATGATTTGTTGCTACGCAACAATAAAATTATTTCATCAAACATATCATATGTTCATACTTAATGATAAGCCACAGATTTGCGAAGTCGTTTTCTGAATTGTTGTTGCTATTGACAGAAACGTCAATCGACATTTTTAATTGTATTTCGCTTTGCATTATTCTTGAAATGCTGTGTTCTTAATAATTCTCTTATTAATGCTTAAAGTATTGTTCTTCTATTTTGAAAATGTAAGCTTGAATATTATATAATTAACCTTTATTTACCAATAGAATACCTTCAATAGAATAACCTTTTAATAGAATTTTGCAATTATTTATATATTTTTTCTTCTTGATATAGAAGAAATTACTAAAAAGTATTTTTATACTAAAAAATATCAAGATTTGAAAAATCTGCATGTATCATCATCGCCATCCGAAGATGAAGAAATTAAATCTGCATCTGACAATGAGTTCCAGTTTTAAAAAAAACGATGATAATATCCTGATACACCACGAAAAATAAATCATTCCAACTCTAATGTGTACTCAAAATTTTAATAAAATCTTGCTTCCCTATAGGCGCACAATATTATTTGATATTAAGTAATATTTTAGGCATATTTTTAAAATATTAAATGTAACTTTTAAGAATATTTTAATAAAATTATATAAATAATATTCTCGAAATATTAATGGATATATGTCCACTCCTGATAATATTATATGATTATTAGTAAACTTAAAGTAACACTATTTAATATTACTGTAATATTACTTGTATAAACATTAAAAAGTATTATAACAACATTTAATTTGTAAAACTGCTACATCTGTTCAGTATAAGTATACGTTTAAAGGCTGAAAATGATTTTGGCGCAGTTGTAGAACTGGACATGTACTTGAAATCACGTCGAAACGTTTTTTTAGCACAAGACTTTTAGAAGCATAGATTGATAAGAATTTTTCGTTACTAGATTGTGAAATCAAATTGCATCAGCAGTAAATTGTATCAGCTTTTTTATCGTATAAAATATCTGCACAACGACACAATGATATCGACAACTACCGATAAGCGATTTCAGAATAGAATCCCTAAATTATAATACAAAAAACATTACTGCGCAAATATTAAATATCAGTACTGACCAGACACTATTCCAGTATAGAGCATCGTTATCATGCCCGATTTATGCCAGTACCGCGTCCGTAGTTAGATCAATACTGCACCTGCACTTACAGTCAGTACTGGCCCATTACTGGCAAACCAGTACTGAACATTGTTATAATCCCACACATATATCAGTACAGGTGCCAACACTGGCTGCCAATACTGCGCCAGTATTAGCCAGTCCTAAAGACCAGTCAGAAACGGGCTCTCTAATAATTATTCCATGTTTCTCACCACGTATACTTAATTATCGATCGCGTAGGAATTGCACTGGCGATACTTCGCACCCTGTCTCTTTTTTGCAGATTACCTGCAAAAGAACATACAGCACATCATCTACAGTCTTCCCACATATTTTCCAGTGTAGTCTCTCGCTCACAATACTGTTCACAATAGTTTTTTCAATGTGTGCAGTGTGAGCACTTATTGCACGGAAATATAGTGTACATTGGCACTTCGTGCAAGACTGCTTAACGCATCAAAATCGATATCGTGCTTCCTTACAAGATACATTCCCACAACATGGGTATCAACCAAATCATGCATGCTGCACATACAATTAAAGCATCACCTGTTGTATAATAGCTGGATCATGTAGTGTTTAAGTACGGCCGTTCAGTGCACGGATTTCTGGAGATGGCACAAATTTCTTTACGTAATCCATATCGTGCTCGCTCAAATCACTAGCATCATCTGATAACACTTCTTCGAAATCTTGGTCCACTATTTCTTCAAAATCTTCCGTTTCTAATATACTACGTTAGCTATGTTCTCAACGTTCGCACGATAGTTAGCCATATTTATTTTTATTGTCAATAATCGATTCGTTTGTCTTCCAGGACACCAACTGTGGTGTCGAGCACTTATGACCTATTATATATTTCGTTACGTCCAGTGGATTCCAAGATTTCTCCGTTTCGTGAAAATTTCGGCAAAAATAGTCGTTAGTACAAAGCGCGAACATAAAATCGATCGTTAACGGTCACCGATCAGCGAGCGTGACAATATTCAAGAAACGTATCATTAGAAAATCTTCCCAACGATATTGGAAACATAAGCAAAAACATAGATCCTTAGAATCGCTAGATCCACAGCAATAAAATTTATGACAAAGGTTACAAACTATGTAGAGAAAATCTTATTTATACATGATCGGTTTAGTAAATACAAAAATGTGGATCCTATAGATAGACTCATATTTCCAAACGTGTAAAAGCAAGTTGAAGGATATTTTCGTCAACAACAGTTGATAAAATAAATGAGAGCAAAGCGTAGCTTTTAATTTTTTAGATTATCGATCGTAAAATTTAAGTACTTTCTAGACGAGAGAACGCATATTCAAGTAATAAAAGAGAAATCGATGACAAAAAAAAGGTGTATTCGACTTGGAGTAGTTTTGTGCGAATACATGCACATTCTGCCTTTCACACTTACTGTAGAAGAGTTATTTTGTTTAGTAGTCGAAAAACATTGGCGTTTCTCTTAACGCGACATGTCATCGATCTGATAGTGTATATATTTTTTTCATGCAATCGTAAATTTTAGTTACAAGCGATAAAACATGGATCAAGTAAAAGAATATATATGTCGAAAATCGATCGAGTCCAAATGGTACCGTTCCTTGCCATCAGGTCCGCCAAGTCCATCACCACCGAAGGAAAAAGCGATATTGATGAATGTTCTAGTGAAAAAGCATAAAAACCGCCAACGTGTTGCTCATCATCAATATCATCATCATCAAAATATAAATCATAAGCATTTAGCGTGATTATATGAATATAAATGCATTTATTTTTATTTTCTCTGCTAAAAAAACAAATAGTAGCAAAACAAATTTTTCGTTCTCTTTTTTTAGAAAGCGCTGCTAGCGATGTTCGAGCCACCGATCGCATTCGAACGTGGTCGATTTGTGAAAAAGTATAATAAAATATGAGAAAAAAAAGTGAAGAAAGTATATGAAAAAAAAATTTTTGTTCGGATTACATATGTATTTTCTTTTATATATGTATTTTCTTTTCCATCCTTTGCCTTGACGCGTATTGAAAAAATTGTGTCGTAAAAAAAAAGATTACTAGTACTTTATCATTTATTCATTTCTTTCATCCTTTCTCTAACATGCAAGCTCTTGTTACTTACACATTCTGTGACATCTAGAGTTCTATAGTTCTATAGTCTACAAACATTTTATGATCTTAAGTATTTCATATGCAGCGCAATGTATCCTAGA